GCCGGGGTGGGTGGGTGGGGGAAGCTTTGTCTCCTATGTTTTCTGGATGAGGATAGGTCTGAATTGGACTCTAGGGCTTCCCCAGCTTCTTAAGCTAAATTCTGAGTTGAGGGATCTCCATTTCTTTCCCGTCTTCTCTGGCCTCAGAGCTGAAGATGTTTATCCTTGGAAGAGGCTCCTGGTTCTTTCTCAGGCCACGTATTTCCTGTTATCACAAAAGCAATCCCTATTTCCCACGTTAGCCTGGGAAACTTGGCCTGTTTCTAGACCGAGAATTGGTTTGCTGGCAATCACTTCTTCATCTCAGCCTCCATGGATGGGGTTTTCAAAGCAATGCTAGGGACTTGTTTGCCGGGAAGGAAGGCCATTTTCCAGGGCAAATATGTAATCCCACACAATTATCAACTGGTTTTGCAGACAATGGGAAGTAAATGCCTATTTTTGGCAAAATGTCATAAAACATGATCACATGACTGCAGGGCGCTAGATGTGGTCACAAGACTGAGGTTTGGCCCCCATACCTTTGGAACCAGGTCCTAATTATGCCATGGCATGAAACTAAGTGATTGGTCGTAATTTGAGCGCTATGTGTAAGTCAAGTAATCCAGGTATTTACTGTATATGGTGGCCTATTCCAGACTTAAAGGCTTTTCCCTATAAGAACTCTGTGCCAGTTTGAAAATGGCTTCAGGCCACTATGAGCCACATCACCTCTGTTCAGTAGCAGAACTGATTTATTTTTGGCGGGCAGCATCCTACTTGAAACCACGAATGCTATTTACTTGTTTATGGAAGTACTGTGACTTAATGGAACTCAGTGGTGGATTTCCCCATGAGGAGGAGCTCTTGTCTCACCCTTTCCCTGCTCCTGGCACTGGCAGGGCAGAGTTTGGCTTAGTTGGCTCCACAGGTCCCTTGCCGTAGGATCCCTTTGGGTTTTCTGCCCTTGACCCAGAGGTATGCAAAGCCTGTTCAATGGGGATGTGTGTCTGTGGGTGTACTAATTGATTTATTTTCCTTTCTCTTTAGCGGCCTCAGGGATTTTGTTGCTGTAGGAGCAGTATGTTGATTTTTTTCTCTCCTTGTTCTCAATGTTGTGAGGCAAATAGCAGTGAGGAGAGTCACAGAGGGCTTTTGATTGCCTCTGGTAGGGCAGTCTTTCTCAAACTTGGCAACTTTAAGATGTGTGGGCTTCAACTCCCACCATTGATGGTTGGCTAGGAAGTTCTGGGGTTGAAGGGCACACAACTTGAAGTTATCAACTTTGAAAAATACTGAATAAGAATGTGAAAGTGGCCCTATAGTTGGGCCAACCATCTATCCTTGGCACAGAGAGCTTTGCTTAACTTACTTAGATAAAGGTAAAGCTTCCCCTCGCACATATGTGCTAGTCATTGCCGACTCAAGGGGGCAGTGCTCATCTCTGTTTCAAAGCCAAAGAGCCAGCGCTGTCCAAAGACGTCTCCGTGGTCATGTGGCCGGCATGACTAAATGCCGAAGGCACACGGAATGCGATTACCTTCCCACCAAAGGTGGTTCCTATTTTTCTACTTGAATTTTACGTGCTTTCGAACTGCTAGTTTGGCAGAAGCTGGGACAAGTAATGGGAGCTCACTCTGTTACTTAGTGTTAGGGATTTGAACCGCCGAACTGCTGACATTTCTGATCAACAAGCTCAGCATCTTAGCCACTGAGCCACCGCATCCCGTTTGCTTAACTTACTTAGGATTCTTTTATAGGTAATAATCAACTTACAATCATTTGCTTAACAGACAAAGTGACAACAGCAACTGAGAAAAATTGCTTATAATCAGTCCTTGTACTTACGATTGGAGCATCCCCGCTGTCATATGAATGCCACTTGCAAGCTTCCCAGGGGGTTTCTGACAAGCAAAGTCAATGGGGGAAGACAAATTCGCTTAATGACCACACAAATTGCACAATGATCACTGCAAAAAAGGTTGTAAAATCGAATGTGGTTTATTTAATGAGTGCATCGCTTTGCAACAGAAATTCCAGTCCCAATTGTAGTTGTAGGTTGAGGACTACCTGCACCCTCTTCCACTCAGAAGTACATTGCTAACCCAGTTCTCCAACTGAAGGACTCTTGAGAGCTATGGACTTCTTCCAAGATGCTCAGCAATGGCTGTATTGGCTGAGGAATTTGGGATGTTGGGGTCTATGGTCTTCAAAAAATATTCTGTGTTGTGTTTCATTTAGACCAGGGGTGTCCAAACTTGGGAACTTTAAGACTTGTGGACTTCAACTCCCAGAATTCCCCAGCCAGGCTGTCTGGGGAATTCTGGGAATTGAAGTCCACAAGTCTTAAACTTCCCAAGTTTGGACACCCCTGATTTAGACTGTCTTTTTTGGAGTGAAATGAGGTTTGCTCCTAAAGTGAGGCAGGATTGGATCAGTTTTTGACGGAGATAACTGAAAGATCCAGGGCTTATAGGTTCCAGTGGGGAGGTCAAAAGCGATTCCTTCAGAGAAACATTGGCAAAATGACTTCTGCTGTTGCTGAGAAAACCACATGGAGGTTTCCATGAAATTCAGTAGGGGCTGAGTCCAACTTAAGGAATTCTTTACGTGTTTACAGCTTCAAGGGGAAGCTGCTGCAGGCTGCTGATTATTATTGACAAAGTCATATTGTATGGAAGTGTTGCGTGTTGGGGTCCATCCCATTTCTCTCGCCAAATTCTTATATTCCAGGTGTAGCACTTTTCTGAAACAGCTGTCTGTTCTGAGGAAGGAGTTTTCTCCCCTTGCTTTCTGTAAAAGAGGGCTGGGACAACTTGGAGTAGTTGGTAGTTGAACCCTGTCCCTTAGTTGAGAAAGGCTGAACCAACAGGGTCTCAACATGCTTTAAGGGGACCTGATTGACCCTGGGCCACAGCATGAGTTCTGTCTGATATATTGAATAAAGCAAAGTTCACCACAACCTGGAAATCAAAACAGAGCTAATTGTATTACAACCTATGTTTATTCCTTTAAATAACATAAACATTTTGAGGAACACTACTTGGGGATTCGGCATGCTGCTTCTGCTTTTTGTTTTGGAATTGCCTCCTGTCTTGGAGGGAAATTGCTTTTATTGAGTTGAATTTGTATTGAAGTTTTGGGCACAGATGAAAAGATTTTTACTTGTAGTGGATTCTACACAATGAAATTGTGAGTGGATTCAGAACACCTGCTACCATGCAATCCATGTCTCTGTAAAATGGGATGGCACCCCTGCCATGAAGAAAGGGCCTTCAGAATTCCTCTGCTCTGCAGTTTTGCTTTTGAAGGGCTGTTTGGAGAGCTTGCTAACACCCCATTTTCATCCCACTTGCAGAGCAGAATTCAGAAGCTTTAAGAAGCTGCCCTGCTGATTACCTACATTCAGAATCAATGTTAACCCAGCCTTGGCTGAGTTATTCTGGCAGTGAAGTCCGAACTTCATAAAGTTGACAAGGTTGAAAAACTCTGCTTAAGGAAATAGTCCTTCCTCAGTCAGAAACCTATTAAACTGAGGACTGAAGCTGTACTTGTACCCAGAACAGTTCTTGTTTTGATGAGGTTACCGACCGTGTCTTATTTATGGCCTTGGCCTTATTATCGGGGGTGGGGGGTGGGTTGTCTTATTTTGGGGGTGCAGGAAGCCCCAAGAGGCCTGCACACTCACAGCCTGGAGTCTGGCAGAGAGAGGCTCCTTCCATCTGCTGCCATCAAGCCCCTCCCCCCCCCCACAGGGTGTGTGTGTGTGGAATGTGAGCAGCCTGAAGATATCAAGCCGGGCGAGTGCCTGTGTGGTGCTTCTGCTGCTGCTGCTGCTTTTGGCTGCGCGTAAGGAAAGCAACATAAGTTTTTCTTTCTCTCCCCAAACTCCTCTGTGGCTTCCAAACCACCAGCCAGGGCAATGGCCGCTCTATGGTGATGGTTGCCAGAGGCCTCCCATTCCGCCCCTGCTCCGCTCCGATTGCCCCATGGTCTCCCCAGCCAAGCACTGACCGACCGAAGTGCCCGCTGGCGAGCCCGGGAAGCCTCGGGAGTCACCGGATGGGACGGTGACCAGGCCAGACTCTTCCTGGGGAGTGGCGCCTCACAGGACCCTTGCCAACCTCCCTTCCTCACGCAAGCCCCGCTTATTCTTCCCAGGTGCCCAGCAGTGAGACACTGGGCAGCTGCACTGAGGGCATCCCCAACAGACGCAGCTCAGCCGGCCCAACCATGGCAAGCACTCCCCGTCCATGGTTGAGGTTGACTGGTCGGGGCCTCCACAGGTGGTGACGGCGGCTGCAACATCTGCAGCGCCTCAGCCATCCCCGCTGAGAGACCTGTGCCCAGCTGCAACTGCTCCAACATGCAGTCGCCGTCCGCATTGGAAGCACGGAGCATAGAGGCCTCTGCTGCCACCGCCCGCCCTGCTGAGGAAACCCTGGTGTGGCAATGCTTACATTGGGGCCACTGGGGCAGGCGCTCGGTAGCGTGGCTTATGTGGACGCGGCACAGGGATGAGAGCGGGTGGCTGCCGCCATGGTACAGTAGCAGGAACAGGCACTCAAGGTCTACAGTCGGTGCCGCAGGGAGGGGCGGGGGGGAGTTCTCGGATGTAGCTGCCTTCGGAGGGGTGGAGGACCTGTTTGTTTGTGTGTGTGTGTGAGAGAGGGGGCGATGTTATTTTCAGGGCTGAGCACATATTTTTGCCCACTTCAAAAATCTGGCATGGCTTTATTTTCAGGACATGTCACATTTTCAGGGAAAATCCCTGAAGTTAAGTTATGAAATGTCTGCCAGAAAACAACCAAGCTCAGAGAGCATCAAGAGTTCCACAGTTCAACCCTGAAGTATCCTCTTCTATTGGAACAGATCTTTAAACTCAAAACTCCTGTATCCCTCCCTCTCCCCCTCCTTGTTATGCTGATGTCCATTCTTAAATACCTTTCTAACATTTCATTAGGTTCACATTGTAATGATAACATTGTACTCCCCTCCCCCCTCTTTTCTTTGCCTCTTAGGGGATATTGGAAACTATTACTATGGTCAAGGTCACCCCATGAAGCCTCACAGGATCAGGATGACTCACAATCTTCTTCTCAACTATGGTCTTTACAGAAAAATGGAAATTTATGTAAGTTTTTTAAAAAAAACTGAACATTAAATTCTTCACCCATTGTTACTGACGGGGGCCTGTGGCTCAGAAAGAAGAAGGAGAGCTACTACAAGGGAGCACTGTCGTCCCCCGTCCCGTCCCCCCCAATCACCCCAGCTGGAGGTCGCGATCAAGAAGGACCTGTGGACTTTGCTCCCATCTAGGGCTGAATCCTGACTGGAATAGATTAGAAAAGAAAAGAAAATAGAATATAGAATAGAAAATAGAAAATAGAATATAGAATAGAAATTAGAATAGAATAGAAAATTAGAATAGAATAGAAAATTAGAATAGAATAGAAAACTAGAATAGAGAATAGAATAGAATAGAATGGAATAACAGAGTTGCAAGGGACCTTGAAGGTCTTCTAGTCCAACCCCCTGCCTAGGCAGGAAGCCCTACACCACTTGCCGGTGTACCTGGAAGGGGTACAGGTCATCTCTTTATTTGAGGCTTTTGTGGCTGCTCAAATGCCCCTTTTCAGAGCTATGCTTGAACAATATTCAGAAGTGACGGCCTTACCAAGCTCTCCTCCTCCCTTCTCTTGTCATTTCAGCGACCTTACAAAGCGAGTGCCGAGGAGATGACCAAATATCACAGTGACGATTACATCAAATTTCTGCGGTCCATTCGCCCAGATAACATGTCTGAATACAGCAAGCAGATGCAACGATGTGAGTGAAAGTGGAGGGTGTCATATTTGCTTGGAAATCCTCAGGCATGCTTGGCTAAAAAATGGCCCCCTCGGTGGGCTTTTACTGGGGAGGGTGGAGGGTTAATGTGCTGATCAGGCTTATAACAGCAAGGATGGATGATATCGCCCCTGTAAAATCCATTTGCAGTATCTTATCCTCATCCCTTAAACGAGGCTTCTGATCCCAGTTGGGAAAAGCCTGGCCTGACATAGAATGTGTGGTTGCTTTCAGGTGGGATGGCAAACTGGCTTTGCACTCCCAGACTAGCCCCAACAAGCCTTTGGTGTTGCTGGGAGCTGCCGCCACTTTGTCATTTGCCATTCTTTCAGAGGAGGGGTGCCCAAACTTGGCAACTTTAAGACATGTGGGCTTCAACTCCTAGTATTCTCCAGCCAGATTTGCCAAATTTGAAGACCTCTGCTTCAGAGTGTAACTTGTTAATATCCACTGTTTGTGTGCTGTAGAAAGTTTGGTCAGTCGTGCAAAAAATAGGTTTAGGCTTAAGAAGGAATATAGTTCCTTCTTGCAACCTTGTATTGCTTCAGTTGAGTTAAAGCTTGAGAAATGTGCAGTAAAAATGTTCATCCTTCTGCCCGAGGCGGTATGTCTTATCCACAGCAACTTTAACCTATGTGGACTTCAACTCCCAGAATTCCCCAAAGGCCAGCACTTTGGGGTAGCCTACTTCCCTGTGGTGTCCTGCCCAAGTACTAACCACCTTGAAGCTCCAGTGTGGAGTTGTGCCAAGTTCTTAAAGCTCTGTTTGTTAAAGCTCCGGCAGGTGGCGCCACCCCCTAGCATTGTTAAATGCCAACGGACAGCTTGAACAAATCTGACATATCACTTTCATTAATGAGCAGCTTGTGTTGGATTTTCCCCCCCTGTAAGCAAGATATGTCAATGCAGTTGCTCAGTTTTTGCCTCCTATTCATGTTTTCAACTCCAGTGAAAGGGCAGCTTTATCACACATGGTTCACAAATTATATATCTATGTTCAGTTATCAAATTTAGAGACTGTCCGTCTCATTCACAGAGTAACTGTGGGTGATATACAGTTAAATCTCTCCTTCCCTGTCTTCCTTAATCAGTTTTCCAAACATAAGGTAAAGGTTTCCCTTGCACATATGTGCTTGTCGTTGCTGACTCTAGTGGGCGGAGCTCATCTCCGTTTCAAAGCTGAAGAGCCAGCGCTGTCCAAAAACGTCTCCGTGGTCTTGTGGTCGGCATGACTAAATGCCAAAAGCGCATGGAATGCTGTTACCTTCCCACCTAAGTTGGTTCCTATTTTTCTACTTGCATTTTTATGTGCTTTCAAACTGCTAGGTTGGCAGAAGCTGAGACAAGTAACAGGAGCTCACTCTGTTATGCGGTGCTAGAGATTCAAAACGCTGAAAGGCCGTCCTTTCTGATCGACAAGCTCAGCGTCTTAGCCACTGAGCCACCGCGTCCCTTTTCCAAACATATTCCCAGACAAATGTCTATTGTTCTGGGTTTTTTTGTTTTCAAATTCTGATATTTCCATTTCTCTTTTTGGCTGAAATCATTGATGTGTTGTGATTAAACAAGGGTTTCTCCTGTTGCTTTCTTTTTCAAGTCAATGTTGGAGAAGACTGCCCTGTGTTTGATGGACTGTTTGAATTCTGCCAACTATCTACAGGAGGGTCTGTTGGTAAGTAGCAATCACAGTTTTAAAAATAAAAACCTCAAAGGATGAACGGTACTTACTGCGCTGCTTGTTCTGCTGAGGACCTCACTTTCATTGTGGAATTGCAGATTGCGTGTTCTGACAGCTGATTCCTGTTCCTTTTAGGCCAGGCAATGATGTGCAAAGTTGCTCTGAATTTAAAACCTCCCTTTGAATGCAAACTATTTCAGACACTTTTGAAAAATGTCAGGATATTGATACAGGTACTCCTCAAACTTAGACCCACGAGTGGGCCCAGAATCTCTGTTGCTGAGCAAGGTGGTCATTAAGTGAGTCACGTCCAATTTTATTACCTTTTTTGCTATAGTTAAGCAAATCTCTGCAGTTCAATGAATCACAGGATTATTAAGTGGATCCATCTTTCCCCATTTGCTTTGCTTGTGGGAAGCTGGCTGGAAAGATTGAAAATGATGATCACATGATTCGGGATGCCAAACCATCATAAATACAGGCCTGTTGCCAAACCCCCAAATTTTGACCATGTGATCATGAGGATGGTGGGGTGTCATTATAACTTTGAACAATTGATTGTAAGTCAGAGACCGCCTCTTGTCCTCTCAGGCTCACAGAAGCTTATGCCTTTTAAGAAAATTTGTTAGTTGGAAAAGAGGCTATCAGAAACCTGATTTTTTTGTAATTCTCCTATTAAGCATTTTGCTAAAGCAGCTGTTTTGAGCTTGAGACATTCTGTTCCATGCTCAGATCACTTTCAAGATGCTCACAACTGTTTCCACGCAGAAAGAAAGTGTTGTGGATTCAGAAAAACTCGGATCAAAATGTTTTGTACATTCCACATGATAAGTTCATGGATGAATGTTTTCTCTCATGCTTCCATGAATAGTCATCTCAGAATTTCAAACCAAGTGAGAGAGCAGAGATGGCAAAGCAGCCATCACAGCCAGACCCCTTCAGAGTGCACTGATGATGTTATCTAGTTTGGTAATGAAACGTCTGTAAGAAAACCATCAAGAGAGCACTAAGGACACCACAAATATTCTTCTCTATCGGTAGCATTTAGAGCAGGGGTCCCCAAACTTGGCAAGTATAAGACTTGTGGACTTCAATTCCCAGAATTCTCCAACCAGCTGGAGAATTCTGGGAGTTGAAGTCCACAGGTCCTAAAGTTGCCAAGTTTGGGGACCCCTGTTTTAAGCAGACACAAGGAACACTCTTGGTCAGGCATAGTTATGCATCAAGGCAAGATCAGGGGATATGGGGGGCATATCCCACGCAACCTTCCCCACCTCAGGCCAACAATGGCATTCATGTTTATGAAACGTGAGACATTATATAAGACATGGGTAGTTGTAAAAAAAAGCAGATGGCAGAGGGTGGGATGGTTAGACAGGGTCATTGACACAGTAGTCCTGAGTTTGGGCAGATTCCAGGACAGTGGGGTGGGGTGGGGCTGGTTTGTCGTCATCCATGGGGTCACACAACTTAGCGACTGGGCAACAGCAAAATGTCAATAAAGAGACCAATCTTTCCAGTTCTCCCTGTTTTGAGAATCATTTAACATCTGGTTCGATACCAAAAGTGGGCAATTCCTTTGGGCAGGTGAGCAAGTGTGCAACTTGAGAACAGCTGTGGGTCCTCTCACAAAAGGGATACCAAGGAGACCCATGGGGCAAAACGCCGATTGCTCCTCCCTTTTTTAGCCAGCCAGTCTGGTCTTTATTGCTCTAAGTCAGTGATGGCGAACCATTTAGACATTAAGTGCCCAAACTGCACATGTACATGCCCAAACTGAAAGGCGTGCGCCAGACATGCTCACATGCGCAGCAGAGACCCAAGACCAGCAGGTTGGTGGGAGGCGGGGCATCCCAACACCTACAGCGCAGCAAGAGGTAAGATCTTTTTCTTCTGTGAGCTTCTGTTTCATCATTAGCAGGGAAACAGAAGCTCACAAAAAAAAACACCACGGAGATCTGACCTGGGGCGGTGGCACGCATGCCAGCAGAGTGGGCTCTGCGTGTTCCCTCTGGCACGCGTGCCATAGGTTCGCCAGCATGGCTCTAAGTGATCCAGATTGACTTTTTCCCAACAGGGGGACCTACTTTTAGAGACTAGTGTGATAGCTGCCATCAGGCATTTTTAATTTCTAAGTCTGCTGAGAGAACAAGTAAGTATGTGGCTCAGGGGTGTTTTGACAAATTACAATGATACCAGAGGACACCATTATATTTTATGCTCTAGTTTGCTATTATTTTCCAGATTATTTTTTAATTAAAATAATCTAAAGCGATCAAAATCAGGGAAGGCAGAGAAGCTGGCAACCAAGGGAATTTGCTCTGGATTCGGGGATCCCTAAATATTTATCCAGATCTGTACAAATACTATTCTCTTCCCCAGCAAGCGCCGTGAAACTAAACAAGCAGCAAACAGACATCGCGGTGAACTGGGCTGGAGGCTTGCATCATGCCAAGAAGTCAGAGGCGTCTGGCTTCTGTTACGTCAATGACATTGTCCTGGCTATCCTAGAACTGCTGAAGTATGTGAAACTGCCACTTTTATATGCTGGACCTAAATGAGATCGTTATCTTTTTTTTTCTTTTTGAAAATTTATTTTATTTTATTTTAATTTCATACATATAACCACAAGTATACCATTACATCTGAACAGAGATTTGTTTAGTATTCTCCATTATTATATCATTCCCTCAACCCAGAACTGCTGTCATTTGCTCTTCTGCTTTCAGTGCACCATATTATACCCTATTTTACAGCCGTCTTATCTCCTCTCCCTTTCTTCCTCCCTCCTTTCTTCCCTCTACTATCCCTCTCTTCTCTACTTCCCCTTCCTCTCTCCTCCTCCTCTCTCTTTCCACTCCTCATTTCTCTCCTACTTCTCCCTTCCCTTCTACTTCCCTCTCTCATCATCTTTTGGAGCCACTTTAGGATGTGTGGATTTCAATTCCCAGAATTCTCCAGCCAAGCATGCTGGCTGGGAAATTTTGGGAGTTGGAAAGTCCATACAATGGCCAAGGTTGAGAAACAGCTTTTATACTGTGGATCTAAATGAAATCCTCACCTTGTCAAAAATATCACATTCATTCTGTGCAGGATAAGCTACTCAGATAGGGAAATCTCTGAGATGTTTGACACCATCATGAAGGGAATTTATGTATGAGATAGCCGGGGAGGCACAGATATTTAAATCTTGGACTTGTCATACATCGAAAGGCGAGTCCAAGAAGCATTATTTGGTCCATGGGCATTTAGGGGAATCTCTGAAGTTCTGCAGAATCTGAGCCCAGCATGAAACGGAGTCTTGATGGATACAGAGAGAAGCTTTGTGATGCATTTTTGCAGTCATTTTGATGACCAAAAGGGAGACTCCCAATTGTGTTTCAGGAATGCATCCTTTTAAAAGGGTCCACCCTGACCCCCCTCCCCCCCCAAAACAGCCTGGGTGCAGAATGTGGAACCGAAATCCTTGGCAGCTCCTCAGCTTCCCTAAGAGGTGGATTGATGACAGTAATTATTTCTGGAAATGAAGGAAGAGGAGAAATCTCCCCATATAGGATTCAAATATTCAGCACCCTGGCTGTGCACCGTATTTTTCGGAGTATAAGACACTCTGAAGTATAAGACTCCTCTAGCTTTTGGGGAGGAAAACAAGGGAAAATAAATCTGTCTCTGCCTCCCAGCAATTTTCCTCTTTACAGCAAACAGCAAACAGTACAGACGATATACACTGTTTGTGGTGTTACATTTCAGACTATACTTGTACAGATGCTGTTAAAATTGATGTGCCTTTCTGGAAGTATACGTTATTCTCTGCTATTTAAAAGAAAATACAATAGCACTTCAGACCAAACATTTATTTTAAAAATCTTCTTCATTTTGTTAAGTTGTCTGGAACAATAATAAAGAAGTCTTTAAAAAATAAGTCTAGTTATTCGAACTTTCTATAGGCATTTATAGTTATTGACTTGCCTCCTTGCAGCAAACAGCCTGTTTCACTTTCAGTTTAAGCACTGGCCTCCCGATGATCAGCTGTTTCAGGCTGCAGGGATTGCCATAGCCCAGCAATGGCAAACCTTTTTTGGCTCGCGTGCCATAAGGGGGGGGGAGTGCAGGGGGGTTGTGTGCGGGCGTGCCGCACCCATAATGCAATGCGCGACTCCCCCAGTGCGCATGCGTGAAATACAGACATAACAAACCCCCCCCCCATTTTTTGCATCCTTTTTTCGCCCTCCCCAGGCTCCAGAAGCTTTATAGGAGCCTAGGGAGGGTGAAAAAAGCCCCCTCCAGAGTAGTCAAAATGACCCTCCCAGCAAAGCGGAAGTGACTTCTGGTTTGCTCGGAGGGTCGTTTTGAGCTCTCCGAAGGCTTCAGGGACCTTCAGGAGGCTTCCATGAAGCCTCTGGAGGGCAAAAAAAGACCCTATGAGCAAACCGGAAGTCCATTCCCGAACTTCCGGTTTGCGCTTAGGGCTGGGTTTTTTTGCGCTCTGGAGGCTTCAGGGAAGCTCTTGAAGCCTCCGGAGGGCCTCGAGGGGGGGGAAGACTCTTTTTGCCCTCCCCAGTGTCCTATAAAGCCTCTGGAGCCTGGGGAGGGTGAAAAATGGCTTTAAAAAGGGTGACCTCAGCTGGCCAGTGTGCGCATATGCTCTGGCCAGCCGACAGGGCAGCGCCTCGCGTGCCCTGACAAATGGCTCCACGTCCCATGTGTGCCATAGGTTCGCCATCGTGGCCATAGCCTGTAGCTGCCCCCGCAAGCCCCATTTTTCCGTTTGCTGCAAGGAGGTAAATTGCTGGGAGGCAGAGGCCAAAGGGTGGGGGCTGGTGGGTGGGCGGGGCTACATTCAGTGTTTAAGACTTCACCTAACAACAGAGGAAAGGAATAAGGGAGGAAAAAGGTATGTCTTATAATCTGAAAAATACGGTAATTTTCAGCAGTTAAGGGTGCCCTTACATCTCTGGCAGCTGTTTCCACCTTTTCTGCTCCTCAGTATTATCTCGGGATGACTGTTTGAAACCTCACCAGGCTGTCGATCACACAAGCTTCCTTTCTTCTCAACAAAGCCTAGTGTGGCTTTGGGGACTGAATTTTAAAACTTGATAATTTTGAGTTTACTTTTGCGGGGGGGGCAGAGGGGGGGATGTCTAGATTCCTCATGGCTAGAATTTGTTTTTGAGGTGCCAGCCTGACATCCCTTTGCAACCTTAGGTACCACCAGAGAGTCCTGTATGTTGACATCGACATCCACCATGGGGATGGTGTGGAGGAAGCCTTCTATACCACAGACCGTGTCATGACAGCCTCCTTCCATAAGTATGGGGAATATTTCCCAGGAACCGGGGATCTGCGGGTGAGAATGGGAACTTGAGATGCATCTTCCTGGGCATCCAGTCCCTCTTTCTTCTTTTTGGTTGGCTCGAACACTTTCCAGGCCCTGTTAGCAACAGAGCTTTGCCTGACCTTCTCTCCTTCTAAAACAAGATGATTCATGTTCTCTGGGTCAGAGGTACTACTAACACACCTGTTCCCAAATTGAAAAGTTTTAATGCAACAGAAATTATGTCACAATGTTAGTGAATGGAAGAAAGAGAGTAATCTCATTAGTTTTATTGACTGTAGGTTGTTATCTGTATTGACAGATGATAACATCCGGCTGATGTTGTTTCAGCTCAAAAGCTAGGTCAATTAGAACCTGGAATCCCAGATCTGTGCTCTAGATTGAAAGACTTCCCAGAAATTTTCCAAAAATTACATGAGCATCTCCATTAATCCTTAGGAGTCGACTTTGACTTGAAAAAGGCAAGAGTTTGATTAAAGAACTTGTCTCTCTGACTTCCTTCTCAGAGTCAAGCCTTTTGCCTACTAAGGAGAGGCAGGGCATGGCCTTTGGCCTAGAAAAGGCCTGTTCGTGCCTCCAGGAGCATGCAAAATGTTTTTAGTTTAAAATTTGTTTATGGCTGCCCTTCCCAGCCAAGTGACTCGGGGAAGATTACAATAAAACAATAAACCCCTGAACGGAAATACGGCCCTGTTGAGTTTGAAACAGATCAGACATTTCTGGGAGAGTTGAGATGCCGTTTGGAGCGTGAAATAATTCAAATATGAAATTTTCTTAAAACACTGTTCCATTCCTCTTCCTGTGTATTTATTAATAAAGGTGTGCTCTGATCCGGGTCTCCCTTAGGGATAGTCGGACACCTTAACCCAGTGTTTCTCAAACTTGACAATTTTAAGATGCATGGATTTAAAACTCCCAGAATTCCTCAACCAGTATGTTGTGTTAAAGCTCACACATGTCAGCCTTGGCTGGGGAATTCTGGGAGTTAAAATCTATGCACCTTAAAGTTGCTAAGGTTGAAGAAATATTGCCTTAACCATTACATCAAACAGACTCTCCTTTCCATGAAAAACTAAATTACCTGAGAAATACATTATTTTGCCTTAAGAAACAGAGGGAACCCTGCAAGCATAATGTTAATCGTAGAATACTCATCTCTTTCAAGATCTCTCCTCCTCCCTCCAGAAAATAGCTTGCTCTTACACAGAGGTGGGTTCCTACCGGTTCGGTCGAATAGGTAGTAACTCGGCCAGACACATGACCGCACCAGTTCTATCCTGGTGCTGCCATCTTTATTTTCTGTTCTGCACATGCACAGAACAATCTTCATTGAAAAAATGCATTTCCCCCCTTTTTTTAATGGTGTGTGTATGCCACTCCCAGAGATGGGCCATTTTCACAAAAGCAGATGAGTTTTTGCTTTATCCTAGCTCCAGAAGCACTCTGCAGGCTTCAGCTGGGCTGGGGGAAGAGAAAAATGCTCTAGTTTATGTGAAAAACGGGCCGTTTTCTGCCCATTTTTCACAAAAACGGGGCAGTTTTTGCCTTCCCCCAGCCCTGCTGAAGCCTTCAGAGTGTTCCTGGGGGCCAGGGAGGACAAAAACTTTTTTTCTTACTGGGTAGTTTGTAGGCGCTACCTTAGCTCTGGCGAGGCTAGAGGCCCCTCCCACTCCCCCCAGTCAAAACTTTTCACCACTGGTTCGGTGGCTGTGGCTTGGTGATGGGGGTTATGTAACTGAGTGTGCATGAGTGATGTCAAGTTGGCCACGCCCACTGAGTCACACACACACAAAATCTAGCCACGCCCACCGAATGGGTAGTAAAAAAATTTGAAACCCGCCCTCTGCTCTTACAGCAACAGAAAATGACTAGATGGGGAACATTTGGGCAGCATTTGGCAAAATCTTAGCCGTTGGGGAAGAAGAGATGAGTAAGGAAGGGCAAATGTTGCTTCCTCACTCATCTTCTGGGATCGGATGAGCCGGTTGGCATACGTGTTGAATCTGGCTTATTTCAGGTTATTGATTCAGCACTAGCTCACCCCCCACAGTCCTCTTCTGGGCTGAGCTCTCCTGGGCAGGACAATGACTCTGCTGTTTTGGGGAGGTGTCATTGGGAAAGCCTTGGCTCTAAAGTCCCAAAAGGCAACTGGACTTTCTGCTTTTTCTTTGAAGACATTTTGCTTCTCATCCAAAAAGCTTCTTCAGAGCTGAAGTTAATCTTGGATGAGAAGCAAAATGTCTTCAACACCCCCCCACCCCCCGAAAAAGTCCAGATGCCTTTTGAAAAAGCACTTTTGGGACAACCATGACCCTGGAAGACTGAGAATCTCCATAGACTAAGGGAGCCCAGAAAGCTTGTGGACAACCCCTTTCGAGTGTTCTGGGTGACGTGATGAGGGTGTGCCATTGTTGGGCTGCAGGGCCTCTTGTGAGCATTAAGAGTACCAGCAGTCTCTGTCTTGGGCATCCTCTGAAGGTGGCCCCAGCTGGTATTTCAGATGACATCTTTTCTTCTCCCTAAGGATATTGGTGCGGGTAAAGGAAAATATTATGCTGTCAACTATCCTCTCCGGGATGGGATCGATGATGAGTCTTATGAAGCCATTTTCAAGCCGGTAAATGTCTTAGTCCTTGAATGCTTCTAGTTCGTTTTGCAGATGCTGCAGTTGCCTCGCTAAACTTTTCAGGCTTGCAGATTGTGGAGGAAGTTATAACTTCTAGCCATGGCAACCAGATGCTCTCTGATCTCCTCTCCAAGCTAGAGGAGCAGGGACGGGGTGGGAGAACCCCGAGCTTTCCGGGTTGAAGGAGCAAGTTTCAGACTACCCGTTCAGCACCGACAAGCCCGTGGTCTCCTTCAGGTCCTGTTGGTGGGAGGAGATGGGAGGCTTGTCCCTGGTCTGCATGGAAGCATAACATGAGATTGGAGCTCTGGATGACTTCCATGGGGGAATGGGCTTTGTTGAAGCTATTGGGCTGGCTTTTCCATCTCTGCCAGAGGTTGTGCTGAAAGGAAGGAGGTCCTAATGGTGACCATTCAGGTTCTGGTCATTATTACCATGCTCAGGTATTTTCTTTTACTGGCTAGGTGATGTCTAAAGTGATGGAGACCTTCCAGCCGAGTGCCGTTGCCCTGCAGTGTGGCTCAGATTCCTTATCAGGGGACAGGTTGGGTTGTTTTAATCTGACCATTAAAGGTAAGAGAGGTTTCTTGGAAGGGGGCAAGTAGTGACTTATTCAGGGTGTCCTCAGGATGCTTTGCTGGTCAAAATCAAAACCGTGTGTCCTGTGAGGGGCCTCTCAATGTTTTGCGGGAGTGCAGGAGCATCTTTGAAGGTTGGATATTTGTGTCTTATGGCATAGTGAGAATTAAGGGTCCTCTTTAAGACAAAGTGCTCTGAAATGCCTCTTATCGTGGTTTCGTGGCTCACTTGGGTTGTTTTGCTCCATCATCATTTTGCTGATTGGTTGCTCAAATTGGAACTCACTTCCAGCAGGCTGATGCTCTTCCTTCCCCCAGGTCATGCCAAGTGTGTGGAGTTCATCAAAAGCTTTAATTTGCCCATGCTGATGCTGGGAGGCGGCGGCTACACAATCCGTAATGTGGCCCGGTGTTGGACGTACGAGACGGCTGTGGCGTTGAACACCGAGATCCCGAATGGTAAGGAGGACCCTTGTTTAGCTCACCTGGGGAGGGGGGCATAGACAAGTCCTCAGGGAATCCCATCAGGGCAGCAGCTGCTGAGCTGCTTGAGAATTACAGAGTCAAGCATCAGAAAACCAGCCAGCGCTGGGACTTGGGGTGAGTCTCTGGTAAAGATCAGAGTTACACTTAGAAGGTGAGTTTAAGGCTTTCCCTGCCTCAATATTTGTGGTGGAATCTGGCAGTGCTGAGTTGCAGGAGGAGAGGGGTCTTTCACAAGGAGCTCAGAGACAAATCAGCCTTGAATCCTTGGTATGCAGAAAGAGACCCTTGAAGGATCCTCCCTAAAACAGCAGGATTTATCTGATAATTCTGCAGAGTTGTGTGTTTTGCTCTGGCAAGATTCCTATCTATGGGTGAACAGCAACAAAGAAACCGTTCTGAGCAATTCATTCTGTCGTTTTTTTGGTTCCTTGTGCCTGAGTCTTGATGCCATGGGGACTCTGATGCTACTTGATAAAGGCGTAGTAATTGTCAGTGGACATTGTTTTAGGTTCATTTGTTAATTTTACAAAGTGCATTTTGTGTAATCTCCAGTTTTCTGGCAGCATCTGCCTTCTGCTTTGATTGGGCTGGGAAGGTGTCCCAGTCCCCCAAAAAGCTTTGATGACCCCGTGATTATTTGAATTTTGAACTTTCTTCAGCACCATTTGGAGGCCGTGGCTTTCCTGTGTGTTCCTTTGAATTGCCTTGATGCAGGTTTAACACCCTAACCTCCATGCTTTGAATGCTTCCACAGAGCTTCCTTACAATGATTACTTTGAATACTTTGGCCCGGATTTCAAACTCCACATCAGCCCTTCCAACATGACCAACCAAAACACCAATGAATACCTGGAAAAGATAAAGTAAGTCCGTGCATTTATTTTTGGGGTGGGGGATAGATTTCTGCTGAGGGGCTTCTGCTTGACTTCTGATTCCTCGGTTGCAGGCAGCGTCTCTTTGAGAACCTGAGGATGCTCCCCCATGCTCCCGGGGTGCAGATGCAGCCAATTCCGGAGGATGCTGTGCCGGAAGAGAGTGGTGAGGAAGAGGAGGAAGATCCTGACAAACGGATTTCTAGTGAGTATCAAGCCCAGAGGGGCCCTTTCTTTCAGCTGAGGGCTTTTAGAAAGATGCCTCTCAAATAAGTCCTGAATATGGCTTACACTTTTCCTTCCATCATCTTCCTCTGCTCCATCTGTATTTGAATGTACCGTATTTTTCGGAGTATAAGACGCACCTTCCCCCCCCTAGAAAATGTGAAAATCTGGGTGTGTCTTATACACTGGCGCATGTGCGGGACTCGGATGGCTGCCTGGCTTCTCGCTCTATAGAAGCCAGTGCCAAATATAGAAGATCTTGAGAGCCTCCGGAGCCCTTTTACATTTCTAACAAACCTTCCCGGTGGAGCTTGGTCCCAAGAATCATGTAAGGCTCGACTGTCATCCGGTAGCTATCCGTGGCTGTCTCCCGAACAGGGGAACTGCGGCGGCCTGGAACGGCGATTGCGGTGTGAGGGGGAAGATGGCGGCGCCACGCTGCTGAACTGCAGCGACTGCAAATCTTTCGGCGTCCCTCCCCCCTTGCCTGCTTAACTGACTGACTGATCCGAACGGCGCGGTGAGCCTGGGGACTCAATTTCAGCTGTGAAGAAGGTGGGGGCATCGCAAACTTTGAGATTGTGGAGCGGCGGATCGGACGGCTGGCTGTGCCTGCCGCCGCCGTAGCCTCCCCAGACGCCTCCTCCCCCTCCCCTGTTCTATTCTGCTTGCCTCGTGCCTGCTGTCCTGCGGTCCTCTGGGGAAAAGATCTGGCCGTTCGTCTGACTGGTGTGGTTGCTCAGGTGAAGAGGAAGAACAACGCTCTGAATTCCGTGTTCCAGCCGAGGAAGCGAGAGGCCTGGATGCCTCCCATTTTTTTCCAACTTCTGGCCTCCGTGTCATCATAGCCACCTCCAGACATTACTCCTTGTCTCCCTCCCCAGCCATCAGGAAGCCTTTACCATCTCCCTAGCCGCTTTGACTCTTCTCTACCTGGCCTGTGTCCGATGTTCCTGCCTGTAACATCTGCTCTCCCCCCCGCCCGTCTGCCGCCTGCCATTGCTCTGGTTAGTTAGATAGGTTTAGATAAGAGATTGATATAGTTAGTTATAGGCATAGGTATAGTTAGATAGTTAGATAT